GAGAAGCAGGCTCCCCAGTGAACAAGGACCCTGATGCAGGACTCGATCCCAGGACCCTGGGATCATGACCTGAGCCAAAATCAGGAGTCACACGCTTAACCAACTGAGCCACCCAGGTGTCCCACCTACATGGACGGCTTTAAAGACAAATGGTAAAATGAACTTGAGTACCTCAATTAGTTCCCTCTACTTACACCCTTCTCCTCTCCCCAAAAAACTCTGTAATTCTGTCATCACAGCTCAGGAAGACATTACATCCATGTTGATACTACTTTTTTTTTTTTTTAAAGATTTTATTTATTTATTTGGCAGAGACAGAGATAGTGAGAGCAGGAACACAAGCAGCGGGAGTGGGAGAGGGAGAGCAGGCTTCCCGCCGAGGAGGGAACCCGATGTGGCACTCGATCCAAGGACCCTGGGATCATGACCCGAGCCGAAGGCAGACGCTTAACGACTGAGCCACCCAGGCGCCCTACTTTTAAAACAGAAAAGAGGCAGTTTAACATAGTGGTTGAGTGTGAACTCTGGCCCTAAAAACCTGGGTTCAAATCCTACCCCCACCTCTTACAAGCTACCTGACCTTAAGGTTTACTTAACTTTATCGTACCTTGGTTACCCGTTTGTAAAATGTGGAACAAACAGTATTTAGCTCATAGGGTTACCAGGAAGATTAAATGAAGTTATTACAACAGGGCCACCTGGGTGGCTCAGTCGGTTAAGCATCCAACTCTTGATTTTGGCTCAGGTCATGATCTCAGGGTTGTGAGATCAAGTCCCATGCTGGGCTCCATGCTGGGCTCCATGCTGAGCATGGAGCTTGCTTAAGATTCTCTCTTTCCTTCTCCCTCTGCCCCTCCCTTCACCCTCCCACCTTAGCTTACACTCTCTCTTAAAAGGGGGGGGGGCGGGGAGAGGGCGCCTCGTTAAGCGTCTGCCTTCGGTTCAGGTCATGATCCCTCTCCCACTCCCCCTGCTTGTGTTCCTTCTCTCGTCTTGTCTCTGTCAAATAAATAAATAAAATCTTAAAAAAAAAAAATACTTAGAACATGCCCGATACATAGTAAGTGTAATGTATCTGCTATTGTTAAAACCAAGAAGGTAAAACAAAATGAAAGCATGCTGAAATTTTGTAAACTGGGTTCTTTTGAAGAATATTATGCTTCTCACTGAAGTTTACTTCAGTTTTCTTATTGATTTTGCGTTTTCAACCTTTCTTGTGTACATTTTAGCTAGTCTTAAGTGATCTGCTTCTAACTCTATACAGATAAAACTACCTTTCTAACACTATCAAGACTCTTCTCATATTCTCCACCATCTTAAGTGTGTGAAAATATCCCACTAAAATTTAAGAAGCACGAGGGGCGGTGTCATACCTTGGGAAAAGATTCTTCTACCAGGTGGTAGCATACATATAGCATATGGTCATTAATTAAATGGATTTTAATGGCTCTATTTCAATGGGAGTCAAATGCATAAATATCAGTAAACTAGAGGCTCATTTAGATTCATGTACTTCTGGTGCTTAAATGTTCTTTTAATCCCAGCCCACAAATTAAGTGCTCTAAGTAATAATGGAAAAGGATAATTGTGTATAAATCATGCTGACTTGCATATGTTCTAGTAATGAATGGTACACAATACCTCTCAATTTTTCAGTATGTTCAATTTCATACCTATGGACCAATCATGATCTTTTGAATAGCAAATCTCCTAACAACAGATCTGTGCTCATTTGAACCTTAAAAAATACTGATTACTTTCTCTTGTGTAACTTCTTCCTCTTCCAAAAAGCATGAGAACAATCTCAGAAAGGACACTAAAAAGCAACTATAAATTCTGCAGTCAACAGTATGGTATGATGGCTTCCACCATGCACAGGGATCCTGTATGCTTATAGCTGATGGTCTACATTAAGAAGACATGACAGAGTGCTTGCTTCAGTATACTAACATACTAAAAAAAGAAGACATGATAGCTATCTTCAAATACTTAAAGGGCTGCCATGAAGAAAGTATAAACTTAATTTTTTGTGTTCCTGAGGCAGGACAAGTCATACAGAAGCAGATTTCTGATATAATGAAAGAACTTTCTGAAAATTAAGCTACCTAAAATCGCAAAAAATAATCACTTGAGGTAATGAATACTGTAACACTAAAAATGTTTATGAGAAGACTGGGTTTTAGGAATGATATAGAAAAGGTAAGTATTTGATAAAGAGTTGAACTACATGATCATAAACATCCCCTTCATTTAAAATGTTCTTATTAAACCCAAGACGCCCGGGGCGCTTGGGCAGCTCAGTCAGTTAAGGGTCTGCCTTCAGCTCATGTCCTGATCCCAGGCTGCTGGGATCAAGCCCCGGTCGGGCTCCTTGCTCAGGGGGTAGCCTGCTTCTCCCTGTCCCTCTGCTGCTCCCCCTGCTTGTTCTCCCTCTCTCTCTCTGTCAAATAAATAAATAAAAATCTTTTTAAAAATACCTAAACCCAAGTTTTGGTCTAATGTACAACACTAACATTGTGCAGGACTATGCTTACCTGCCCAATGGTTCAGAGTCTGTGTAGGCTACTTGAACATCATCCCTTCGTAGAGACCAACTGACATTTTAGATATTGGAAGGTCCTATCCCTATTTGTTTGACTTTGTGACCCAATTTTCTATGTATAAAGCTAAATTAAATTCACTTGAAATTTTATGTGAGGAATTTCAGATCAGCCTTGAGACAACTGGAATTCACAAGTAAAGGACAGGAAAATTGTAACTGGTTTCACTGTTTTATAATCATCACTAAAATTCAGAGAATTTAGAAAAATGAGGAATGACAGAAAATGGATAATTGGAATCTAATAACTCATCTACTATACCAGACCTGTTATTAGAACTACTATTTGGGTGGTATAACTAACTTGGTTTAATATATTCATATTGGTCCCATATACTCATTGAGGTAGTAAGAAAAATGTTTTTAAAAGGGAGCAAAAATCATGAGTAAGCTAAGCTAGAACATACATCCTAAAAGTACATGGAGATTCATTATACTTTTGTACATGCTTGAAATATCCATAGCAAAAATTAAAATAAAAAGAGCCCTCACAAAAAAAATAAAATTCAATGCTCAAATAATATAGGCAGGATGCTGGTGTATTTTTTAAGCCATAGGAAGAACAAATAATAATTCAGCATCCATTTAATCTTATCCAAATTTGCCTCAACTCAAATCTGAAAGTATTTAACTGCTAGAATATCTCACACATACACTCTAAGTTTCAGAGGAAAAGTTAAGTACTATTTAGAAACAGTTTCATTACCAAAATTGAGTAACATTTCATTGAACACTGAAGTGAAAAATGTTGCCACATAGCAGGTTTTCTTTTATTGAATCCAAGATGCATAGTAGTTTTATGTAAGACTTCAAGTTATTATAGTCCTCCCTAGTCCACTGTAAAAATAATTGTATTGATACTTTAGAATTGCTTTTGGTAACAATTATTGTTTCCTCTATATTAGGATTTTAAGAGCCTAGAAAAAAGTTACCTGTCTTATTTCTGTTTAACAGCTAAGACTTCCATTAAGAGTGAGAAAAGCTGCAACATTAGTGTAGCGTTAAGCTAGATTCTAGTCCTGGATCTGAACTTATTTTACCTTGAACATGTCACTTAAGCCTGGTGGGTCATGATACTCATCCATAAAATATCTCCAGCTAAATGATTCCAAAGACTCCGTCTAGTTCTGAAGTTGTACGATATTATAACATTCACAGTGAGTACACTCCTTCAATGATAGGTACTATATCCTATCACCATACAGCACTGTGGATGAACTCACACAAAATGTGCAAAGCCAGAAACATGTAAACAAACATGATTTAAAAGAAAAAAAACTGGCTTGAAATATGGGTTAAATATCAAGGGCATTTATTTTCTTATCTAGAAAGCATCAACACTATAGGCTATAAATTAAGCTCTGGAATGTTGTAAAAATTCAACCAAGACTCTTGAACAGAAAGGAAAATCTCTAAATAGTAATTTCTTGACACCCAGTGACTGCGGCACCCATGTGCCTACCCAGCATTTATATGTCAGAGGAAGATGTTACTTTTATGGGATACTGGAATCAAGAGTATGGAGTGGAATGCATTCTTTGTTAAATTAGTACAAGTTCAATTTAAGCACCTGAAAAACACTACCTTCCTAGTTAACAATGAACTAATAAGATTAAATGTTTTTACTAATTAAATGTTTGTTTCAATGTTTGCATTACATATATAAACATTTAATTCCCTAACTCTAGCACCCACTGAATTCGCAAAAATGGTAGAGATAAACTGTATTTCAACAGCCCCACTTAATGAAGTCTAAAACTAAGTTAATCCAAGTAAAAATATGGATTTCTTTTGTAGGAGGGAGTAATTCATAGACATTAGTTTATAATTAAGAAATCAATAAAAGTAAACAAGAAAAAATTTAGTAACAAGTGGGCCATGTAGTACGCAAATGTGGTATACTGTTTAAAAAAAAAAAACAAAAAAACACAACACCTGCTCTCAGAAATAGCAATAATGAAAAGTGTAGCTACTGATACCACAGTTAATCATATTTTAAAAGGACTGCCAGGAGAATGTATCTAAATAGAATTATAGTGTCATTATGTTGGAGAAAGCTATGCTGGCTATAAGACAGGAAAAGGAATATAGCCCTAACAGATGAATACAGATAAGCAAGTAATTTGCAGGGGTGGCGGGATGACAGAAGAGGAACACTTGTATGTAATTTACAACTCAACTCAAAGAATTCAAAGATATTACTAGTAGTAAAAATCTACAAAATGACTGTGAACCAGAGAGAGTGTTCAGGTTTCTTTAAAGAGCCTGACTGAGACGGTGTATATGTAAATAAACTGAATGGAAATGTAAGCTGGTATTGTGGTATTGTGGTATTGTGATGATTTAACCACAAATGCCTTCCCTATTTAAATATTCCAATCAGTACTGTTAGTACACGTACCTCGGAGAATTCTTTCCTCATGGCAACGAAGAAAGTCCCAGATTCTAACAGTGCCGTCATCAGAGCATGTAGCAAATTTATTATCCGTGGGTGAGAAACTGTTACATGAAGACACACAGCAGGGGAAAGAAGTCAGCATTTAACAGATTATCTGTGCTTCTCAGACAGGGAAAAATAAAAACACTGTGCTGCGTTATAAACAGGAGTGGGAAGTATTCCAACAGTGAAGAAGCCCTTAAAGAGAATGTTGTCAGCTAACAAACGCATCTCATCAAAAGAAGAATTCAACAGAGTAGTTGCTTCTTAGTTTTCAATCAACAATAGTCCGAGAACTTTACAGGTATATTAGTACTAATGCTTCCCACACTCCCCACAGTAGTATTTCCTGTCTTACCAATAGAAAATGTGGAGCTGATTTAAGTGTAGAAACTAAGTGAATTTTACTTTTGCAATATTCCTTCAACACTCTTTTAAATCACATAGGAATACCGCTCAAAAAATTAGCATCAGTTTCTGCCTCAGACGCTTCATGAAACGATTAAGCTAAAAAAATGTGGACAGGCTATTTAAAGACTAGCTGCTAAACACCCCTACATACGATGTTTCTCATTTATTTGAGTGGTCTGTGGGAAACTCTCACACCTTCTCCCTGGCAAGCTAATCCATGAATGTTGCACCTTTTAGGGAAAACGAACACAGAGACATTCAGACTGTGTTTGAAGCCAAAGATAATCTACTGCAAAGGATTCTGCCATCTTTCCCTCCCTGGCATGAAAAACCATCAAGTTTCTCATCTATCTCTAAGAACTCTCTTGAACTTTTGAGTCCTATAACTAACAAAGAACTGTGAAACTCAATGTATGGGCAGGACACTAAAGCAGTTTTTGCAGAAGCATGTTTATCCAACAATTTTTGTTAAGATTCTGAAAGTAGAAACAAGTGACTGCAGTGGATGATGTTTTCTATAAAGATGTCAACCTCCTCCCACACATGGGCGGTACACCAGTAAAGAATGCTGCTTAGCTTTATTCTGAGGCTGCAGCAATTCTTCAGGCTTGCTTTCGAGATTTTTTTTTTCCGGTTTTACTATACATATCTCATTGATATGTAAAAATATACAACTCACTGAAAATATTTTAAACTCCACTTATTATACATTTGCATAACTGATGTTCTCAACAGTGAATCAGAAGAAAAAGTCCTAAAGTCCTCTTGACAATGGTTTGCTTACAGTTTCAAAGCTTGAAGAACCCATTCATTACTCCATTAATGTTTGCCACATCCAGAGTTACTTGTGCGTTTTTAGTCCTACTATACTTTCCTTTTGAAGTCGTGGCATAACCAAGCCAACCAGGTCTTCACTTAAGCCTTTTTTTCTTGTATTTTGTGTGAACTCTGAAGGTGTTTTCTGTAGGCTTTAGATTTTATTCAGTTGTATAATTAAAGACTGAATTCTTTATTCGGAATGAAAGATTCTTGTCTTACACAGTAGGTAATAAAAAGGAATAACGTATACACATTATTAACCATAAATGAAGAGAGAAAACCAGTGCAAAATGCGGCAGACAATACATCTCTAACATATTGCAAAGGCTGATACCGGGACAACACTACTTCAGAAAAGTGCCAGCGAAATGGTGAGTGTGTGAAAACAAAGAAAAATATTGTGTTTATAGGGTGCAGAAAGTATCCCAGAATCTGACAGAGCCCATGCATCTCTGCACCCAGAATACACTTAGAGAATAATTTAACCATGACAATAGGGACTACAGAAAATGGTATATTGTGTATAAACCTGGCCTCTCTAATCGCCTCCTTATGTGCCTGGAACATCTTGACGTTGTTCATGTTCGACTGCCAATATTTCACATATCCTCCATGGTCTGCTGTCAACATCCACATGTCATTATGTGACCAAGTCATGGCCCTCACTGGGCTATCATGAGCCTGTGAAAACACAGAACATTTGTAAACATTATGTAAAAGAATATATGACAGAAGGCTTTACAGGAGCATAACTCACAAGAATTATTTGTCCAATTTTAAGTTTAAAATGCCAAAAAAGTAACTGTATCTCCAGTTCTTTACAGTACCACAGAAGAATGTTACCATCTGATGATTACTGTTACCTGTAATATTGTTTCAAAATTGAAGGTGAGTCCATTCCACAAGGTGAACTCTCCACTAGAAGCTCCGGTGACCAACCGTCTTCCTTCTGGAGTCCACTAGGGAAGAAAAAAAAGAATCTTAGCTAATTTTTAAAACACTTAGAAAGTATTTACAAAATATCAAATAATCAACATTAAATAGACAATACTGACTTTCACTTAAGCATAGTTCAGATTTATAAGCAAGTACTTTGTCAGAAAAGAACTTGTATTAACACAGTGCAGGAAAAGCTCTAGCACTTTAGCTCATTAACTAAATTAAAAATAGTAAATGCACATGGCACCTGGATGACACAGTCGTTTAAGCATCCAACTCTTGCTTTCAGCTCAGGTCCTGATCTCTCAGGGTCGTGAGATCGAGCCCCACTGTCAGGCTCTGTGCTCAGCATGGAGTCTGCTTAAGATTCTCTCTCTCCCTCGCCCTTTGCCCCTCCCCTCGCCGCCCGCATGTGTTCTCTCTCTCTCTCAAAATAAATGAATCTTAAAAAAAAAAATAGTAAATGCATTAAAAGTACCTGGTTAAGTTACACACATCTACACCCTTTGAAGAACCTTTAAAAGCAAAATATGCAAAGACCACATTTTCCTAGGATACATGGCAGGCTAACATAAATAAAATGGTCAGTCACCAAAATAACTCAAAGAAGGATTACACCTGCTAGTGGACCAATTAAGGCAGAAAGTTACTGGTGTTTTATGAAAAAAAGTACCAATTTAAGGACATCAAGGATATTAAACTTTTCCTGGCCACTAAATGTATTTAACTAAAAATTATGACACACAGTTGAAAAATACAAGTGTGCTTATAGGAATAGCAGGATGAGATATTTAAAATGAAGACTATTTGGTAAACCTGGCTTTTTATTGCTTACCTGCACATCGGGATTTTGCTTACTTTGATTATGAATAAAATCCTCCTACTTTCCTAGTTTCTGTTATCTACTATGGATCCCAATCAAGTAAATAATACAGGCAACAGAGCTATACGCACAATACCTTGTCTTTATGTCTTAATACCTTGTAATTTGGACTGTGTCTCCACTATGTGTCAATATCTCCTGAGACCTTACAGTTTGATCCCCAAATGAGAAATTTACCTAACAAACTGTAACAAATACAATTTTATCCTTCTGTACTGTGATACCAAATGCTCAGATTTTACTCATTACAAAACAATTTTCTCTATTATGCTAAGAAGATACAAAAATTAGCTGCACACCAACCCCTTTTATCAAACTCCCTGGCAAACAAAATCATACTACATAATGGTTGGTTCTACCAACAAAAAAGCCAATAAAATAAGTGGTTTTTTTTTTTTTTAACTGATGTTTCTACTGCTTTAGACCTCTGAAGCAAATATGAGACCTAAGACTGACTGCAATATTTCCCTCAGACCTTTGGTTCTCCCTGCTCTCTATCATACCTCTCTAGTCACAGAGGACTTGCTTATTTTGCTTATTTGCCACAATGTTTGCCATTATTATGGCTTCTCTGTCCCATTTTTTTTCAATTCTTATTTGCTTAACTCTATTAACTCTATCCTACATTTCTAGACTTGATATACTGCTAACCAGCAAGTACATTCTTACTTAGCAAACCACAAAGAAAATGATTATACTATCAAAAATGGGAATATTAACTGGATACCTGGGAGACGAAGATGGGAAGCCCTTTTATTGCAAACCCTTCGAATTTTCAAATTTTAAACCATGCCAATCTACTATTTATTTAAAAATTATACTTAAATTTCATGCATATGTATTTAGTACCTACTATGTACCTTTTTGAAGCTAACAATTATGGTCAACCACTGGCCTTTAGCTTTTTTCAGGTGTTTTCCTTACTAATGACACCCAACAGTTTTCATTAACTTTGAGATGCTGCTTTCTAAACAGCAGCAAAAGCCACCCTACTATTCAAGAGCAAGTCTGAGACCTGCTACAATATAAATCCATGGCCTGCTCAGAGAATTCTATGGAAATTGCAACATGAAGAACAATCCAAACGCAATACCTTACTAAATGTGAATACAGTGGATAAATGATTGGGTATTCCAAAATAAAATTATTAGCAACATAACAATTTTTATCCCAGATATAAGTTTAAAATAATTTAATTTTGTTCTGTTAAATATATGTACAGACTAACTCAGGATTAATTTTTCAAAAAAAAAAAAAAAGTACCCAACACAATACTTACCCTAACAACAAATACTGGACACTTTACTTTATTTGTTGATGTTCGAACAAATTTTGTTGTTACTGCATTCATAGGATTATTCAACATCCCTATAGGTGGGACCAACTACAAAAAGAAAAAATTGGATTTTAAGGGCTCCTGATTACACACAAGGCATAAACCAGGGAAATAGCAAGGTAATTATTTCAACATTTACAGACAAATTCAGGACTATACAGCACTTTAAAAGACTATTATTATAATCAGTCTGTATTAATTAAATGAAGAAAACTGAGATATAGGACAGTTAAATGCCCATTATTATTAAACAAACAACAAAATCAAATATGCAATTTCCCCAATTACTTCTCAAGGTCAACACAATAAAAACATGTTCACAATAAACCAAATTTAAAATTAACTTTCCTATTCCACAGACTCTGAAGCAGTGCAGTCTTTTGCTGGACATTTCTTTAAGCCCCAAATCAAAAGTTCATATACCGTTAAAGTAAAAGAAAAATTTTAATTGAATAAAAAAAAAATAGGGACGCCTGGGTGGCTCAGTCGGTTAAGCGTCTGCCTTCAGCGTGGGTCATGATCCCAGGGTCCTGGGATCGAGTCCCGCATCGGGCTCCTTGTTCCGCGGGGAGCCTGCTTCTCCCTCTGCCTCTGCCTCTCTCTCTCTATCTCTCATGAATAAATAAATAAAATCTTTAAAAAAAAAAAAAAAAAAAATATATATATATATATAACCCATGGAGTACAGAGATATGTTATATTATCTCTTTAGGAATGTTTTATTTAAATTATAAAAACATAAAAAAGAAAAGTCCATGTTTGCATTTGAGATCACATGGTTTTACGTCCAAATGTCCAAGCAAAGAGATTTTACTAAGCTAGTATAACATATCTTAATACTTACATCATTATAATAACCTGCATCAGGCTGAATTGCCCGCATATCTCTCTGGTCTCTTTGCCATATTCTATTCTGTTTAAAAACAAACAAATTAATTACTTAATATAATAGGTCCAATTATACTCAGTTTGAAACAAAATGTAAGCTGCTACCAAATGGGGAAAAAACAGAATTAAAACTTTTTCATTACGTTCTAAAACAAAGATAACAGTGGGTATCCTAAAGAGACCTTACCCTACTGACATTGTTTAGAATTTCCCTCCTCTCTTTACTCACCTCATCCCCAACCAATCATCCAAGATACTGTTGACCCCAATACATTCTCACTGGCCATGCTTTAATAAAAGGAAAAAGGATAAGGGATAGGCATATGTCTCCAATTCCTTCAAAATCCTCAGCACAAAACAATTCCTGGTATCTTGCCCTTGGTTTTCTTAATTCCTCTCAACCTCTCCTAGACTAGTTTTCCAACTGAATAACCTGAAAAAACCTAAATCTGTCTTCATCTCTGAATGAATCTTTTTCTCTTATGTGTCTGCAATATATTAATTATCCAATATGCAAACAGGTCTTTAACAACAGTCTCAGGTAAGAAAAAGCAAACAAATTTTCTTCATAGGAGGCCAGAGCAGATCAAAACCTGATTAAAGTAATAGCGTTAGTAATGAAAAGCAAATCTCAGAGACTAATTTCTAGGTGAGGACAAGTAAATAAAGAACTCAAAAGGGAGAAATATCAAGCAGAGATTTAGGCAGATGCCTACTCTGCCTTTAGTTACCTTGTCAGGGTTGCTTTCACCCTACAGTGCTTGACCGTCAAGAAAGTGGAGCCCTTTTCTCTGACAGTAAGAGCTATCCACCACCAGGGACTTGGAAAATCAGTGTTCCTAGAGCCATGCAAAATTGCTGTTCTGAGCGTGCGTTCCCACAAAAATATTCTTATGTTGGTAGTCTCTTGACATTTCAAATACACTGGGGGTTTAACAAGTGTTTTAAGGCTGGCTTTGGGATTAAAGTACCATTTTCTGAGATTTGCTGTGAACTTTGTTCTAAAAGTTTAAACTATGGGATGCCTGGGTGGCTCAGTTGGTTAAGCGTCTGCCTTCGGCTCGGGTCATGATCCCAGGGTCCTGGGATCAAGTCCCCGTGTCTGGCTCCTTGATCCACGGGGAGCCTGCTTTTCCCTCTGCCTGCCACTCCCCCTGCTTGTGCTCTCATGCTCGCTCACTCTCTCCAACAAATAAATAATCTTTTTTAAAAAAAGAAGTTTAAACTATAAATCACAGTTTAAATTTTACAATTTTTGAGAAGATGATTCATGCGTGCAGAAAGTAAAAAAGTACTAGTGATTGGCCTCATTTGAAATTCCACTTCATCCCACTAATTCAAGAAACACAGTTATACTTATTACCCTGCATTCTAAAAACTTTCTTCTTTTTAAAAAGCCAAAGTTTGGTCATCAGAAGCACATTAACTAGACTTACCTCCAAATACTTAATTACAGACGGATTATAGTCTATGGTTTTTCGGTTTACTGCTTTTCTCATCCGTTTTCCATCAAAGGTAAGCTGCTGCATTGCTTGCTGCTGTGCAAAATCAGGTCGCTTATAAAATAGTTGTCGAGGTGCTTGGTGTTGGAACCTTGGCATATGGAAAAAACGAGGAGGAGAACCAATTTCTGTAGCCATGGTGATGTATTCGTTCTAGGACACTAGGGTAAGGAAAAAGTATTTTCACTACAAATATCAGCACTGCAACATTATTTGAAAACATTTTAAAATGAACATTTTTCATACTTCTCTTCCATTTTCTAATAGATATCATTTCTAGCTTTTAGTCAACCTAATTACAAAATGAACTATCAGATTTAATGGCAGAAACCAGTTATACATTTGAAAAAGGCCAATTCACAGAATAAGTGCCAATGAGCATTTGTTGTAAAATTCAGCCTGGTGAACAGCATGGGGTCAATGTGCTGTGTACTGTGTCTGTGTGAAGTAGGGGAGGAGAGTAGAATCACTGAGAACTGTTCACATTTTTAAAACGAAGTTTTCATTAGATGTTTGATGGTAAAACAAATCATTTTAAGCTTATCATAAGACCCCAATTCATTTATGCAAGAGTTGCTACAAAATTTTTAAATCTGACTTTTTTTGTCCTTTTAACTTTCCTAGGAATAGTGCAGAAAAAGGAATAAACTATCCTATTTCATATGAATGCTAGAAGTATGTGTATCTAGGGGCTCCTGGGTGGTACAATCAGTTAAGCGTCCCACTCTTGATTTCGGCTCAGGTCATGATATCAGGGTCATGAGATCCAACCACACATCTGGCTCTGTGCTCAGCGCAGAGTCCGCTTGAGACTGTCACTCTCCCTCTGCCCCTCCTCCCACTCACACTCACATGCTCTCTCTAAACAAAATCTTTAAAAAGAAAAAAAAAATTTTTTAAATAAAAGTATATAGATCTAATTTCAGAATCAAAGTACCACAAAACTGTATTTCTCAATATGTGTATTTATATATTTACACAGGCAACATTAAGCTAACATCTCAACGGAAAAAATATTAAGAGCTTAAAAGTTTTCCAACTTTAAGGCTCTCCAATTAAATTTACATTCCAATAATATAAATATGCATGATATAAAAACACATTTTTAAGCACATTTTAAAAACCAGACTATGAAAAACACCTTTATAAAGGGTGTTAGTTAAGGGGCGCCTGGGTAGCTCAGTCGTCAAGCATCTGCCTTCGGCTCAGATCATGATCGCAGGGTCCTAGGACTGAGCCCTCCATTGGGCTCCCTGCTCAGCGGGAAGCCTGCTTCTCCCTCTCCCACTCCCCCTGCGTGTGTTCCCTCTCTCACTGTGTCTCTCTCTGTCAAATAAATAAATAAAATCTTAAAAAAAAAAAAGGTCTTAGTTAAAAGCAACTTCCACAATTATTTTTGTTTTGATAGCAGCAGAGATTGTACTCTGCATTATTTTTCTATAGTCTTATATTTGCCTTTCCTCATTCAAGACACTAAACAAGGACCTGAACAAAATTTATGATTTCCTTTGGATGAAAATATTCATACTACTATTACTTCATTCTGTCACTTTAGTCTCTACTGAAACCACTTAATAATGATAATAGGAAGGGGGGGATGACAGGAGGAACAAATAATAACAAAAATAAGTAGTGTGATAAAATATACATTTAATACATATTATTTCCACTACTCTGGAGCAATCCCAGAAGGTTTCTCACAAATGTTAATTTATAATGAGATAAACATTCTGTCTTTCTCTTAGGGCTATGTGTGAATTAAATCAGGATGCACAAATTGCACTAAGCATTTGACTCAATAATATTGGTGAAGGAATCTGTTTATTCAGCTATCCCATGAATCCAAGTAAGTTTCAGCAGCCAGATTTCAACTAATGGCTTCAATTCAGATATCTAGGCCAGTAATTCCAAAAGGATGCAGCTTTGGGCTCCTGGCTGGCTCAGTGGAAGAGCATCCAACTCTTGATCTCAGGGTCATGAGTTAGACCCCCAGGTTGGGTGTACAGATTACTTAAATAAAACTTTAAAAAAATAAATAAATAAGGGGCACCTGGGTGGCTCAGTGGGTTAAGCATCTGCCTTCGGCTCAGGTCATGATCCCAGGGACCTGGGATCGAGCCCAGCATCGGGCTCCCTGCTCAGTGGGAAGCCTGTTTCTCCCTCTCCAACTCCCCCTGCTTGTGTTCCTGCTCTTGCGCTTTCTGTCAAATAAATAAATAAAATCTTTTTTAAATAAATAAATATAAAAATAAAAAGACATAGCTTGAAAAGTATATCCTAAAATTACTATTTTTTCACTTTACAATAAATTTCTAATTTTATGAGAATAAAATCATTCTAATGATCTACTTTCTAGTATGACTGATATCAAATGAGAATTAAGGTTTTTTTACTGAAGTATGGTTAATCAACGATGTTACAAAAATAACATTTTAGGGGTTAGTCAGTAGAGTATGACTCATGATCCTGTCAGGGTCTTAAGTTCAGGCCCCACGTTGGGCATGGAGCCTAGTTAAAAAACAAACAAACAACAACAACTGGGTGGCTCAGTAGGTTAAGCATCTGCTTTTGGCTCAGGTCATGATCCGGGTCCTGGGATTGAGCCCCACATTGGGATTCCTGCTCAGTGGAGAGCCTGCTTCTCCCTCTCCTCCCAGCTCATGCTCTCTCTTGCTATCTGTCTCTCTTCCAAATAAATAAAATCTTAAAAAAAAAAAAATATTCAGCCCCCCAAAAAAGGGAATATAGCACTGATACACGCTACAACACGGATGAATCTTAAATACATTGTTAAGGGGGCACCTGTGTGGCTCAGTCAGTTGAGTGTCCACTCTTGGATTCGGCTCAGGGTCGTGAAATTGAGCCCCATGCAGGGTTCCGTGCTCTGCAGGGAGTTGGCCTGAGATTCTTTCCCTCTCCCTCTGCCCCTTCTTCCCCCCCCCAAAATAAATAAAATCTTTAAAAAAAAAAAAAAAAAACTGCTTAAATACATTATGTTAAGAAAAAAGCCAGACATAAAAGGTCACATATTGTATAATTCCATTTACATGAAAAATCCAGAACAGATGAACACAGACAAAGACAGAAAACAGATTAGTGGTTGCCAGGGGCTGGGGAAGGGAGGAAGAGGAAGTGAATGCTTTATGGGATTTCCTTTAGGGATGAGGAAAATGTTTGGAACTAGACAGAGGTAGTGGCTGCACAACATTGTGAATGTACTAAGTGATACTGAAATGGGCACTTTAAAATGGTTAAAACAGGGGCACCTGGGTGGATCAGTCAGTTAAGCATCTGCCTCTTTGGCTCAGGTCATGATCCCAGGATCCTGGGATCTAGCCCCGCATCGGGCTCCCTGCTCCGCGGAAAGCCTGCCTCTCCCCCTCCCTCTGCTGCTCCCCCTGCTGTGCTCTCCCTCACTCTCTCTCAAATAAATAAAATCTTTAAAAATAAATAAATAAAAATAAAATGGTTAAAACAGTGAATTTTATGTTATGTGACTTTTATCTCAGTTAAAAAATGGGGGATTTAATCCACTGGAAAAAATTTTATTTTATTTTATTTTTTAAAAGATTTTATTTATTTATTTGAGAGAGAGAGAATGAGAGAGAGCACATGAGAGAGGTTAGGGCCAGAGGGAGAAGCAGACTCCCTGCCGAGCAGGGAGCCTGATGCGGGACTCGATCCAGGGACTCCAGGATCATGACCTGAGCCGAAGGTAGTCGCTTAACCAACTGAGCCACCCAGGCGCCCTGGAAAAAATTTTAGATGGGTGGCTCACTCGGATGAGCATCTGCCTTCAGCTCAGGTCATGATGAAACATTGACAGTGTTGAAGATGGATGATAGGTACATGGCAACAAAGCATTAACCAAGAGCCAAATCAAGGATCTACTGTACAAACAGGAGGAAAATAACTGAAGTCAAATATAAAACAATCACTATGCTATTACTAACACTCCTGAATAATTCACATGTTAAAGCTGAAGAAAGATATTACTCCTTCACTTAAGACCTTTATATAGAGGATGGGAGAAAATACCTTTCTATTTACAAATTTGTATTCTAAAAAAAAAAACAACTTTAACTTTTCGTGAATGGTCAAGTACTGGTGTTCTAAAAATAAAAGTCCAGCATGAAGAAAAAGAGGGGAAAAGTACAATTATATTTTACATTAAGATCGAGCCCTAAAATAAAACGGAAACAAACCCCCTCAAAATACAGTGACCAATCTTCACATTAAACCTACACACTTCAGCTTCACTTCCTATAAACCGTTGTCACTTACCAAAGTCAAAACAGAGCCTTTTAGTAGCTGTTATGGGCTGAATTGTGTCCCCACACAAATTCATATGTTGAAGTCCTAACCTCCAATACCTCAGAATGTGACTATATTTGGAGATAGAGCCCTAATCCATATGACTAGTGTCCTTGTAAGAGGAGATTAGGACACAAACATACACAGAAGGAAAGCCATATGAAATTACAGGGAGAAGAGAATCATGTCAAGGAGAAAGGCCTCAGAAGAAAACAACCCTGCTCAAATCTTTTTTTTTTTAAAGACTGTATTTATTCATTTGACAGAGAGGCGGTGAGAGAGGGGACACAAGCAGGGGGAGTGGGAGAGGGAAAAGCAGGCCTCCTACTGAGCAGGGAGCCTGATGCAGGGCTCGATCCCAGGACCCTGGGATCATAACCTGAGCCGAAGGCAGATGCCCAACAACTGAGCCACCCAGGCGCCCCAACCCCGCTCAAATCTTAATCTTGGACCTCTAACTTCCAAAACTGTGAAAAAATACATTCTTGTTGTTTAAGCCACCAAGTCTGTGGTACTTTGTTATGACAAGCCTAGCAGACAAATACAGTGACAGAGCTAAATACCTGGCCCTCCTGGCTCACCAATATGGGTTGCCGAAAGATTCCAGCAACAATAAAACAGCTTTCTCTAACAGAGACAGCAGAAAATTCCATACATGAGGTTGAAAAATAAGTGACCCAGACAGAAAGAACTATCACTCAAGTCATTAAAACTATCCTTTAGGCTTCACTCAGGACTACATTTCAAGGAACTCTCTCTCTCTCTCTCTCTATAACCAAATGCAGAAAACATGTTTTATAAGCTTAGTGACGTGACATTACCAAAATTATAACTAAAGACAGAAAAG